CACCTCCCCCCCCCCCCCCCTTTTTTTTTCTGACACTGGATGTCCTCAGTCTGCTGGTCAGCACTATTCAACTTCCTCTGAGCCCAAGTCATCCTGAACCCTCCCCCAGCCTGTGACTGGACAGTAAAAGGAGAAGCTGCACAATAAGCTCATCTCTGTCAGTCTGCTTTCTTCTCCCATCAGCATGCTTCTTGTCAGCACACAAACTGACTGTACTACTTTTCTCTGATACTCCAGCCCTGCTGTACAATGACTGCAAGAGGCTGATACCGGGTCAGATTTAGGTACTTACACTGCTTGAATTAACAAAATACATTGATGTATTAATGATTACACGGCTGCATAACTGTGTGTCTTATACCTGCCTGGAGTTCAGCTCTAAGAGTCATTATAGAGCCTGCCCTTATTAGCTGAAGCTCTCATTATGCAGTAAACAACTGAAAATTCTCAAGGGAGTATATACACAGGTGGAACTCAAATAATTAGAATATTGTGCAAAGTTCATTTATTTCACTAATGCAACTTAAAAGGTGAAACTAATATATGAGATAGACTCATTACATGCAAAGCAAGATAATTCAAGCCGTGATTTGTCATCATTGTGATGATTATGGCTTACAGCTCATGAAAACCCCAAATCCACAACCTCAAAAAAGTAGATTACTACATGCAATCAATAAAACAAGGATTGTACATAGAACAATATCGGACCTCTGAAAAGTACAAGCATGTATATGTACTCAGTACTTGGTTTGGGCCCCTTTTGCAGCACTTACTGCAATTACTTTTGCACGATATTCTAATTATTCGAGTTTCACCTGTAAACGGGACAGCAAAGTCAGTGGTTGATCTGGATAAACCGGTGATCATATGCAGATTTTATATACTTTCCCACAATACTAGAATGCTGGAAGCAAACTAATAGTATGCTCCCTCTCCTCCATACTGCTCAGTCCATTGTAGTATTTCATGGAGTGTGGATAAAAATAGAAGCATCTCGTCAGCCTTTTTCAATGCAGGGTTATCAGATGGTCAGTACAAGTGTAAAAGGACGGCCAGAATACAAATCCTCAATGTACTGTGCTCTGTATAGAATAACCTGAGCATTTCTTGTACTATTCAGGAAGCTTTACACAAGGATAAGGATCCGTCTTTGGTCATGTGACTAATATGTAAAACGCACTGTAAATAAGGATCCTTATCTAGATATCTTATGTGCACTAAAGTATATAGATGGAAACAAAGGCTGGCCATACACAGCTCTATTTTTCTCGTTCAACCCCGGGGCTGAACGAGAAAAAAAGAGCCGATTCCTTTAACACTTAGGAGTGTCGATTGAAGAACAACAGCGGTCGCCGACCGGCTTATTGGCTGCCGGCTCTGATCGTACGAGATTTTCTGTCTAGCTCCTTCAATCAGCTGATCGGGGATGCCAACAGCGGCACACACTGCAAATGTTGGCTGGTTCCTCAAAAACCGGCCAAAATTCAGTGTATGGGTACCCAAAGTCAAATACAGGAAGTCCTCGTTCACATGGGAAAGAGATCCATCTTCAGATTCTTGTGGCTGGAATCACAGTTGGTGTCAGAGAGCTGCTGTGGGCACTCAGTCTGTACAACGTAATGATAGGCTGGCAGCCGCCGCAGCCGCGCGGATGTTATCAAGCTGGTTATGTTAAGAGGCGATCATCTGTCCCTAACTGCGGGTATTCGTTCCACAATTATATCCAAACACTGGTGGACTATTGCATCTGTCAGTGCGTAATTGCTTTGTAGAGGCTGAGCGGCCGCAGATGTCCAGAGAAACCCATGATTCCAGTCGCATGAACCCACAGCAGCACCACTTTTCCCTGTGTGAATGAGGATTGACCAGAATGCTTGAAATCACACGAACACTAAAAGCCCCTTCATGCAAGTATTGGGTACTATAGTGCAGTGCTCCCCAACCTTTTTATCGCCGCGGACCGGTCAACGTTTGATAATTTTACTGTGGCCCGCTGAGGGGGGGGGGCGTTGATTGTTTATATTTTAGATTGTTTTGATTTAATAATTTTAATTTAATTGTATTTAAACATGCCTTCAAAATAAAATACAGTTAAACCAAAAAATGAAAGCGTTGGAATTCTTCGCCTATTCCACCACCGAAAAACTGGGCGAGATTACGTTAAAATGTGTGACCACGTCACTGGTCACACATTCTAACGTAGTCTCAAACTTTGATAGATCACATGCCTACCTGTAATCAGAGAAATAGATTATAATAGGGAACATTACAGTGTAATATTCCCCATTATAATCCACTTGTCTAATTACAAGAAAAAGCATGAAATAGCTGTACACAACTACTATCCCCCCCGCCACATATCTATGACCCCTTTACAACCCCCCATCCACATATCTATTAGGCCTCATTCACACACGAATCGGCCTGCACGTACAGCTCCGTGCTGCGTGCGGGGCCGTACCAAGTA